CCCTTGAACCGTGCGAACTCCGTAAAAAATTTCTTACTCGTCTCGCATGAGTCAGGAAATAAACGACTGTCGATTATTTCGCGGGACACTCGGTGAATGTCTGATGGAGAACATTTTTGGAGGAAAACTCATTTCGTTTTACCACAAGGTCGCAATTTACACAAAGAAAAGGTTCAAGTCGATAGCTTTTTTCCTCGATGACCGCGAAGTGTCTTCATTTCCATGCGGCGGGCATCGTTCGGTGAACGATCGTAAGTACGTTCCTCGAATACGAACGATCGTCTCGATCGAGACCTTCGAGACATAAATCGATGATCAGACATTCCGAACGATCATTATTACGTCAGCCTTCCGTAGGTCCGTCGCTGGATGATTCTTTCGAACGCGAATTCGGTGACCTCCGCGAGGACCGAGGTCGATCTTCCCGACGAATAAAAGAAACGAGCTTCCTGGTAGAAATTTGCATTCATCGTGTTTGTGGGTCGAGGAGAAACGTCCTCCTTGATTCTCCTTTTTGTTTTGTTCTTTTTACCGGCAAATTGTTACAAAGTCACTAGAATTTGTTCCTTGTACTCGATTTATGAAAGACTGTGTTTTCGTTTTTGTTTCAGTGCAAATATGCGGATGAAGTTGTTGAAGATCGTGGTGGTCCTGTTGCTGTCAGGATCGGGCGATGCCAGGCCACAGGAAACCGGTAAGAATCACACTCGACGAACGTCCAATCGAATTTTTCCCCGACGTACGTGAATAAACACGAAGAAACGATATTTTTCGTTGAAATCGTCGGATAATAGTTATAAAGAAGAAACTATGTATTTATTTGATTACAAATCGGATATGAAAATGTTTCCTCGATACTTTCGATTCAACGACAGCTCTAATCGACCGGAGGAAGCACCGTGCAATTATTCGGACTACTCGCTTTCGAGTCTGTTTAAATGTTCGACGAACTATAATTACTAGACTAACAATTTTTATAAAACTCGTATCGATTTTATATACTCAATCTACATACATAGTCTAATAATTACAAGTTTCAAGTTTCTTTCTATTATTAATTATTAATTTATTTTAATTAGTAATTCTCAAGTTCCAATTTTCTTTTTATACTAATTCCTCGTATTTGTATATAAAATGGCACGTGCAGAAATTTAGCAGTAAAAATCAAAAGCATGGTGGAAAATCTCAATCAGATTTTTCAAACGTCTCATTTTTGCATGAAATTCAGACACTGTCTTCAATTATAATTGCAAATAAAAGCTCTGAATGGACTAGACATTTGCTAAATAAAATGGCACGTGCAGAAATTTAACAAGAATATAAAAATCGAAAGCATGATGGAAAATCTAAATCAGATTTTTGCATGAAACTTCTCAGTCTTAGAAGGACACTGTCTTCAATTATAATTGAAAATGAAAATTTTAAATGGTCGGACTAGACATTTGCTAAAGACTCGGCGTTTCTTCATAACGACTGTGTCAACGATTTCCTACGTCCTAGCCACGTGATTACGTGAATCAGTTCCCAAGCAAATTGCACGTTGACAGGGAAACGTAGCTACCATTCTCGAGTCACAGGAATTCTCTGATCGACCGATTAGCATTGTGCGTTCAACCGCGATTCGTTACAAAATTTTATTTCGTAATACGAAAGTTTTACGTCCACCATATTTTTCTATATCGTATATAAACAGCTTCCCGATTCGTTCTTCAAGGTCTCGTATAAACAATTTTACGGATCTACTTGAAATTTTGATTTATTTATTTTTCAGGTGAATCGCGACGAACGGAAACGAATTCTATGGACTGGAGGCCGATCGTGCCACAGGCTGTCCAAGAAGCTAGCAGGTACTCATGGAATACCGGAAGTAGTACTATTCCTCACATTAACTATTACCGCGGTAACACCGACTCCGTTAAACGCGACGACGAGGTAAGCGTCGACAAAACACGGAAATCGACGAACTCTCAACGTACGAATCCTCGAAACAGACGGAAATTCGATAAACTGCAGGTAGTAAACAAAATCCACGAGCGCCCAATCAAAACTGGTAATTTGACTAGATTTAGAAACGTCTTTCGTCGTCCTACGATTCCTATATCTGAACTGACGGTTTTAAATTCCGATCAGAAGTCCGGGAATTTCTCGAAAAAGTCGCAATATAATTTTACGCGCGTTCCGTTCGCCGATTCGAGAATTTCCTATCGAAATAGGGCCACTGTGTTAAATTCCACGAGACTCGATCCTATGTACAACGTTTTTAAAAGGAACGAAATCCCGTTGAATAATTCAGAGTCCGTGGCCTCAGGCCAGAATTCGAAGTTCTCGAGTCGCGACGAGAAGGTCGAGTCGACGACTCCGTTCGATCACATCGCGGTCATAAAAAAGATCACCGACTCATTGACTCATTCCGCCAGCTTGCCGTTGGAAAATAAAAACAGTCCGGGCGACGATCCCATACAGAATCATTTAAATCGGTATTCGAACTCGAAACGGCCTAACAGGACGAAAATCCGTCGTCCTTCAGGTCAGAACTCGAAGAAAAATAACAAGAATAAGTTGAATAAGAATCAGATTAATAAAGGTAACTCGACGAACTTGAAGAACTGGCCGAACGGTGCCATTCAGAGCGCCGAGGACTTCCAGAACTACGACACGTACACTTCCTTCGAAAATGATTTGAACCCTGAAGAGAGCGTGCAAAAACCGATTCCGTTGCATCCGAATTTTAATTACCAAGTATCGAGTCCCAGTATTCAGGACATAGTCCACTGGTTGAAGATCCCTGCATTCATGACGAATGGCAGTCACATCATAGAGAGCGATCAAATGAATGGTCCAATCAGTATCGCTTTCGATCCACTTATTCAAAATCTGGAACCGAACAGACCGTCGAGACCCAGCGACGTTCAAACCCTGAAGCCTGGCTTCATTTACCCGCTCCATTCTTCGAGCCACGTGACAGAAAAAGTCCCCAACTGGTTGAGGAACAAAACTAAGAGACCGATTCTCAATCCGCAGACTCAAGTATCCCAGAACACGATCGTCCATTTGATAAACACAGACTCGAGGAAACCAAACAGGACGTCTGTCAGTTCCATTAGACCGACCTCTGCCCCTGTGTCATCTTCAGGGTCTTCGTACCCCCCTTCGTTGATTCTCTCTCAACTGTATCCTACCCCTACGACCACCCCCAAGCCAGGTCCGAACGTTCACATAGGGTTCATTACTAATGAGGAACATAAAGAACCTGACAAAACGCGACCACAAACTCCTGTAGTGACTGGCGATCAGAGTTGTCCTACAATTTTAATAAACTCTTACACGAGAATTAATAATACGATTCAGAGCAAAGAGGGTTGCACAGATTTGAACATAATCATCAATTCCCACGTGTTCAACACGAACGTATATAATTCCACATCTTCAGTGACCAACCCTGAGAATTATCAGAATTACGAAGAGACGGATAAATACGGTCAGGTGAATTCTAATTCCAATTATCCCAGCTATCAAACCAGTTCTTCTCAGTGGCCTCAAAATGGCTATTACGACCCCCCGAAGAATCCGGAGAATCATCAGAGCGACGTCGAAGTGATACAAGATACTCATATCAGTATTTCGACCTCGCCAGACGAACCTACACTCTCGATCGAGGCTTTACTCGGTGAAGACGACCAGAGCGAGTCAGCGAATGATGGCGCAGGTTCTTCGCTAGGCTCCGAGGCTGGTAACAGTGGCAATTCTTTGGTTCGACCAGCCGTGGCACCGGCCGCCACGAATCCAGCCTCTTCAGGGGCATCTCCGAGCCCTCCCGTAACTCCAGTCGCTGGCTCTTCGAGTCCAACGAGCGACGACGATGATGACGAATTCGATTTGTCACCTAGTGGTATTATGGACACGATAGCTTCGGTCTTCACGTATTTTACGGTCGTCAACCCGTTGCATTATGGTTTCTTCAGCTTGGCAGCTGCTCCCTTCACTGCTCTCGCAGCCGGTGTCCTTGGTATCGTTACTTTCATCTACCCCTTCTTCTTCCCCAGTTCCTTCGGATTCAGCAGGGCTCTTAACAATGCCGAAGACAGTTTCTGGTCTAATCTTGAAGAGGTTGTGAAACAGTCTATGGACACATATGGGAGGGTGAATGAATGGAAGAGTAAGAGGAGGAAGAGGAAGAGATGAGAAACTGTGGAGATGTTCGATTTTCAATTATTTTTTCACGTGGCAGTAGTTTTGTGGGGCAGGACGTGATAGAATTTTGGGACGTGAAGAATAAACTTGATGGTTTCGATGGGATGATGGTTTCTTCCAAGATCGGACGTACTTTATTCCTTCGTATTTATGGATAAATAAGAAAACGATTCTGATGTTTTAATTTAAATCTGAAGGGTGAGGGATATATGATATAGCGTTTAGGACATAGGAAAGTAACCTCGCCAATCGTAGCTTTAATTAAATGCGCGATAATTCTTTGCGGCAGACGTAAACATGCCTGTATGTTTAATTTATCTCGTGCTTTCTTTTAGGGCATTTGCTAGTGTTTGTGCCAGCCAAATGTAATTGAAATAAACCATTCGTACCGATAAACCTGCATTTTATTTCTGTAGTCATTATCATTAATTAAGGAGCCTTATCAGGGTGACCGCCTAAAATTTAGATCATTTTCGAGAATTTCTTTTAATAAAGGAACTAAATAAAGAAAGACGCTCTTAAAGACATGCTTTATTGTTGAATGACGTAGGACAGGAGAAATGTTGAAATCTGACAAAATGGTAGAATTTTTAAGAAATTTTTCCTTAAAAAAATTGTCGTCTTTCGTTGCCAAAATTACAGTTTTCATCCAATCAAGAATATCCTAAATAAAGCATGTCTAGAACACTCTGTTAAAATATCAAGTCAATCGTATAATTAGTTTTTGATTTATAGTATCAACAATTTTGAAAAATACCATTTCGAGAAAAACGCGTTTAAAGTATTAACTATTATATTAATAATATTAGAAGACTGCCATTCGAAAACTAGTTGAAGTCTGACCTCGAAATTTTATTATATTTTTAAAGGTAATTTAAAAAAATGCAAAAATAAATTAGATTCTTTTAAAATTCCTGGTAAGGCCCCTTAAGGTAGAATCCTGGTATCCTACAGTACATCCCAAGACAGTCCCATTCCTTGATAAAAGAAAATTTCAAACTTTACAGAGACGTAAAGGTAAGACAATGAATTGCTGCTCGAAATTGTTCACCTAATTTGTTAGCAATCCATTTTAACATAACCGATCTCGCCTCTATCTGATCAGACGATTTCTTTTCAGCTCTCGCCGTTCGAAGGACCTGCAGAACATCGACCAGTCTCTGAGAACGATGGCCACTCAACTGTTGAACGTGACCAGTCCTAAGGAGGAACCACCGAAGATCCTCGACAACGTGATCAACAAGTCGAACGGTAACCAGAAACCGGTCGACCGGAACGAGGCCACACCCGTTAAAGAGATACACGTGAACAATGGACCGGGTGGTTTCGGTAGACCGGTGAATTCGAAATTCAATTACTTCGAAAGCAGCCACCCAGGTCAAGCGATGGCTATTACCGAAGAGGAGCTCGAGAAAGAGATGAGTTCAACACGTCTGATGACAGCTTATAAAAATCAGCCGACGACCACCGGTGGAATTTCCACGTGGATCCTCCTCAATCCACCGTCTACGACCGTGAAGACAGTAGAAATGGAACCGTCGTTTGAAACGACAGCAAAAATCATAGTTAAACCGACGACTCTAATGGAGAGGATAGGCACCACTGAGAGAACGACTGAGAAAGCGACGATACCCGTTTCGACGACGATAGAACCTTCGACAACTAAAAAGCCTGTCTTAGTAACAATAAAGAAAGCTGAAACAAAACCGGAGAAGGTGACGGAGAAGACAGTCACTGAAACGATCAGCGAGAAACCGGAGCCCGTTCAGAGTACTACTTTGAAAGTTCCTCAGACTACAATAAATGTAGAGAACAAGGAGATTGGTACAACTAAGAAAATCCCGACGAGGACGACTGCCAAACCGAAAACGACTACCGTGAAGACCGCCGTGTCTAAGCCTCCTAAAAATCCTCGGCCTAATCAACAGAGGCCGAAGCCTCCAACGAGAAGGACCACCGTCAAACCAGACGTAGCGAAGAACGAGAGTACCGCCACTGGGAAAATAGAGAAAGTCACTTTCCGACCCGTGCAAATGATCACGATCCCAAAAACGAAGACCGAGAGTACAGAGAAGCCGATGTTCGTGACTAAAATCAAAGCATCGATACTGATGGACACGCAGAAGACTACCACTCAAGCTCTCAGTTCTTCTACGGCTAGCTTGGAAGCCAGTACGACTGTTAAACCAACTACGACTGGCAACGATCTCGTAGAAACGAAGCCTAAGCCAGTCGGGACGAAGGTGAACAACGTGTTAAAGGTTCAATTAAAGAAGCCATTAGACGAGCCGACTAAAATCGAGATACACCCGATCAAGGTGAACGCGCCGGTGCTGCAGATAGAAAAAGTAGAGAAAATAACAGATTCGAAGGACAAGGAAACCGAAGACGAGACTAGAATAGATTTAATGAAGTTCGACTTCAACCCTGAATTAACAAAGATCAACGTGAACACCGAGGTTTCTCCTAGCACGTCGAGCACCACGCCGTCGACGACGACGACGACGACGACCTCGACCACCAAGAGGCCTAGACACAATTCCAAGAGGAAGAAGAATAAAACTAGAAGAAGGAAACCGACTGTTTCTACAAGCACATCTACTACAGTATCGACATCGACGCCTTCTACATCTACGGAATTCGAATTGGCAGTCGAAGAAACAATAGAAAATGGAATACAGGAATCGAAGATAGCACCCGAGAGCAAGGTAGCTGTTAATTCGACTAAAACGAAGAAAAAACCAGCTGCGACACCCGTTAGTATGCAGATTTATAATTTCCTTAGTCGAGAGGTGATGCCTAGCTTCGGTGTGATGTCTCTGGTAGGACTTGGCCTCGGCTTGGCTTCGTACTTCCTGTATCCCTTCAGTGGTACAGTCACGAGAAGGAACTATGAGGTGGAGCCGAAGTATAAATACAATTTCGAGGAATACGGAGGAAGTTATGGTCAGAGTGAAGAAGAGGTCTTAGCTAAAGTGTTACAAGGCATGACCACCGACGACTCCAAGTATCCTGGCTCGAAGGACTACGATAATTACTACAAATACCAACACTACGATGGTGCTTATGAGGCGACGAAGAAAAACGATCAAAGGAATCCTTCATCTTCTCCGATCTATCGACCAGAGAAACACAGGAACACTGATTATCGTTACTCCGATGCTCAAAGTACTCCGAATTATTACGACAGGCCTAAACACTCTGAGTACGTCGTAGGTTCAGCTATGCCCAGCTCGGTGAACAGGAAATTCGTCGTAGGAAACGTGCCTAAGGAGTATCCAAATTACGACGAGAAAATCTCGGCTTTACCTAATCCGGAGAAATTAGTAAACAGCTATGAACCGACGGATGGCCCGTTTAATCACGACGTCAATCAGAATTTCAAATTCCCGACAGGAGCTTCTAGTTACGATCAGATTCAAACGGCCAGGCCTGACGAAACTTACGAAGTGGAGATCACGCCGACTGCGGTTGCCGTGGAACACGGGCCCAGATCTCTCAGGAAGAAGAGGTCCTTGGTGAGTCTGATGGACGTTTCCAGGCGAAAGAGAGACACGGTGATTCAAATAATACCTACGAAGAGGGAACTGGAAGAGGAGGAGAAGGAGGACGATTTGAGCAATGAAATATTGAACATCATCGACTCAGCCTTGCCTGACGATGCCCAAAAGAAAAAGAATAAGCACAACGAAGTGGACAATTTCGATGACCAAAGCAAGAAAGAAAAAGACGAGGAGACGACTCGTTTAAAGGAGTCTACCACCAGCAGTCAGAAGTTTGAAACGAGCACCGTTTCCGTGGACACGTCTTCGGTAATAAGAGAAAGTACAGAATCATCTACATTGTCTTCAACATCCGTGGAAATCGAACAAACGACCGATGGATCGAAGACGACGGAACAGACCGTCGAGTGGTCCGAGTCAACCGCTAAGCCGACCGAGCAGAACGGTTTCAATCTCTTCAATTTCGTGAAGAAGATCGCCGAGATCAAGTTACGGCTCGGTCTGACGTTGCTCAAACACGCCAGCGAAGGATTCGCCAAGTACCTCGGCCACGTGCAGAAGAGGATCAACGGGGAGGAGTGAACGGTCTTCCGAAATGTTCAAGGGACTACGAACTCCAGTGACGATTTTCTGTACCGTTTCTTTGGTTGAAAAATCTCATGTGTGAACGTCACGAGGACTGAGAATTTAAACGTCTCTTCATGTATACTGAAATATCTTCGTGCTTATTTATTCATTTATCAGATCGTTAAAATTCGTGAATTTGTATTTTCTTTTTTTATTTCGTCATTAGAAAGAAGATATTTTAGTATACAGAGACAGACTAATCGTCCTGCACGATACTCTGATCAGAAAGCAAATGATTCATACCTTTCACGATTCTAATCCTTAGAAATTGTTAATTCATATTCTTGTTAATTTATTAACAACGTTAGGACGAGGAAGGCAGGCGGAGATTTTATTTGAATCAGATGCACAAGCTTTAAAGGATAGGATTTCTCGCGTGGAATGCACGAGCGCATTTCATTTAAACGTTTTTTTCGAAACCATTTTCGACGGGGTCCGGCGATGGGGGAACTAAAAGGGTTTTGAAAAATTTCAGCGAAAAATTCTATATTCGGAACGCGGCTCTTTCGATGATATTTTTCGTTAGTACTTATGCATTTTATTAAGTATTTAAGCGAACGATGAAATGTAACGTTATTATAAATGTATAAATAAATAAATAAATAATAAATAAAATGTTTTTGTAACGTCCTGACACGTGCGTAAGTATAATCCATTTGGAAACGAGTCTGATCGATGCCTGTAGAAAATAGAAACTCTTAAATGTTTAAAACGTATCTTATCAAATTTCTCTTTCTAAGTATTCTAGTTTCAATTTCTATGCTGCTTCTAAATTCTCGCGTTTACGATTTATATCTTTCGTCATTATTTTATACTAATTTATATTCGTCAAAGATTTCTTATTCCTCTAATTACTCCTATCTTAGTCTCGTTTCATGAGTTCGATACTCGTTCGCAGAGATAATATTACTCGTTATCAGATTATGGTCGGGACGTCCCATTCCTGAGTTCGTTAGATCGCGCCTTCGTCGGCCGAGAATCATCGGTATCATCATTGCCATTGTCGCTGGTAGAATTCCTGCGAGACAGAATCAAGGATGTATCGGCTATACAGTCAATATCAAAAATTTATGTACCTTAGAAAAACGCATTTCTTATAATTAAAAATAACTTTCTTTAAAGTCCATGAATGATGATTATTTTTTAGAAATTTGTTCATAAAACACTGGCGATTCGATATGACCTTTTTTCAAGAGTTTATCGTTTTTTCTGGGCTATTTTCGAGATGAAACTGAAGTTTTTTTTATTTATATAAAAATATCATTTAAGTAAAGATGATTTAATATATCGATTACTCTCATTTTTAACTCGTGCGTTAAAGAGTTTAGAAACTCTTTTCTACAAATATTCCTCTTCCAATTTTCCACATCTGCAGTTCTTCAAAATTGTCAAAAATAATCAGAGAAAATAAACAGATTCTTCCCTGTTTTTTGAAAATTTAAAAGTTTTTACCAGCACCAACGGCGGCCAGAACGGCGGAGTTAGATGGATGATTGCCTAACGTGTTCCTGATAGGCCTCTTCTTTAAAATCGCTGGAATCAGAGTTTGCTTTTCCATCTCGTACTCCTTCCGGCTCTGATCGACGCTCTTGAACGTCTTCTCCACTTCCAAGAGGCCTCCGTGCGACGTGGTCGTGTTCGTGCCGTTGATCGACGGTAACACCGTCAATCTGACCTAGGTAAACGGTTTTTCATCAAGTGACTGCCAATCGCGACGGGAGCGGATGTGACAGGGGATGCTCAATTATAAAACTGACTCGCCATATTAGAAAATCTTGAATAAATTTAAGAACTTCTATGATCATTTAGCCTAACCTGTCTCTTCGAGGTCATCACGGCAACAGCCGGATCCGGTTCTTCTGCCTTTTTGGTAACACTCTTAGTAGAATTATCGATCGAGTCTAATTTGATGGACCTCTGCCTGTTTTTTGAATAGCCTCTGTTCGTAGAGAGGAGCACCCATTGACCGTCCCCGTTCCCGGGATAGCTCTGAGGGTGATTGTTCACGTATTGATACTGCGAGAATCCTGGCCTGTCGGTGGAAAGTCGGTCCTCGAATCTCGATGGAAAATCATGCCAGTCGTTACTCTCCCCTCCTTGATTCTTGTCGTACTTGTCCAGGTACTGGTAGCTCGGTTTCGTCGGTAGAGGCCTGTTCCAATTATTATTGGGGAAGTTCGCCGGTCGATTATCAGTGATTATTTCACTTCCGGGACGGTCTGAATATTTGTTCCAAGAAGGCCTCTCCGGTGGCCACTTTTGCGCCTGAGTCTCTTCGGGTTTTTCGGTATAATAAGAAGGCCGATTTGGCTTCTGCCACGGTTTGTCATTGCTCACTTCCGGCCAGGTCGGCTTCGGTTTATCATACCTGATGTACAAAATATTCGAGGAATTAGACGTGCCTGTCTACTATAGGGAGGTTGCAAAGATATTCATCAAAATCCTAAAAGAGAAATGGAACACTGTATGGAAAAACTCTCGACAAACTCAAATTCACCGTATAAGAGAAGATATTTATGAAATTTCCCCCACATTTTTATTCAGAAGGAAAGAACAAGTTGTACTAAACAGAGCAAGAATTGGACATACAAATTTCACTCACATTTACTTAATTAAAAAACAAGAAAAACCTATGTGTGTTAATTGTAATGAAGCCAACTCAATTGAACACGTAATTTGTTCCTGCCCATTATTCAATCAAGAAAGAAGAAGGTTCAAGATCCAAGGAAACATCAAAGACGTCACTGGTTCTAAAGACTCGTGTGAAAACCTTATAAACTTTCTGAAGAGCATGAAATTACCATGGCTTATTATTCTCGTAAATCGGTCTGATTGAATAATCGGAGGCCCAAGGTTTCCCAATCGTCGGCTTGTCCCAGGGCTTCGTGTCCGGCCACGGTCGCTGAGTAGTGGGCGTTGCTTGCCATTTTGAGATCTTGCTCTTCGACCACGGGATCGCTTCCAAAGTGACCCAACCGTTTCTATCTTCGTGCGAATTCGCGCCATAGTACTTGTTCCTCTTCAACGTGTCGTTCAAAGTCTCGCTCAACTGGTATCAATTTCGAACATCGTAAAAATAGTAGAAATCGTAAAGAACGAAATAAAAGTAGAAGCCATACGCTATTCTCGGTGGTCGAATTGACTGGTTCGCTGACGGTCTGCTCGTAATTGGTCGACTGCGTGGTTTGATCGTCCACCTCGAGGGTCAGAGGCTCGGTGGGTTTCACGCCCCTGAACGGGAACCTATGATATTTTTCCGTACTACCCTTGATCTTATTCGCGTACTCTTCCAGGAATTTATTCAACACGTCCGGATTAAACGTGGACGTTTCGAACCCGTTTCTGTCCTCCTCGGTCCTCGGGAAATCGTCGATCATCCTCTGGCCGTCGCTCTGAAACCCAGCTATTACTTCCAATGGACTTCGAGTAACGGCGATCGGTTCGTCGAGTACCCTCGAGTTCTCTCCTCTCGTCTTGAACAGATCCGACGCGTTCGTCTTCATCTTCACGAAGTACCGCGTGTCGCACTGGGTGCCCCTCAGGACCAACGTTACCGAGAATAGAATGATCGCTCCTCTCGCCGCCATCTGAATCGGATAAGAGTCGTTGAGATACTCGCACTTTCTTCAAGATATCACCGGTGGCCTATTTATCATGCGTGCAATTTTCATTCTTCATTTTTAACATCAGACTTCCGTGACTTTACAAGATTTTAAGGTATTTCTTAAATAAATCGTCGGGACTCAACAGTCGCGTTTGTGTAAAATTGCTGGAAGAGCTTCAGTACTAAAATTCCTCATAAATATTGGTAACCGATATCCATTGCGGTCACCCGCTCAGGTGCGTCTTTACCAGCCATGAAAATACTCGACTACTTCACGTTATGGTTTGCTGAAAGCCTCGAACGTAGAGAGAGCGCGTGAAATTGAGAGAGGGGAGATTGCGCGTTGAGCACACAGGATAAAAACCTGCGCCTTGAATTACAGCAATAATTCAACTATAAAACTTGTCTTCTTTTGATTTTTTTTTTTATCATTTACATTCATATTTATGATATAAATATAGAATATAAAAGGGACATTAAATGGACCTAATTAGATGTAAATTTTAAAACAAATTTTGCTTCGATTCTCTGAGATTATTACAGCAATAATGCAACTATAAAACTTGTCTCCTTTTGATTCTTTTTTATCATATTCATT